TAGTGATTGCCAGAGCTTGAGGGAGGAGATAGTGGGGAGTGACTGCTAATGGGTACAGAGCTTCCTTTTGGGGTGATGAAAAAAGTTCTGAAACTAGGTAGCAGTGATGGTTGACTGAATTGTACACTTTAAAATGGTTAAAATGGTAAATTCTATGTTATATGTATTTTACCACAATAAAAAAGAGTCAGCAGATGGTGGCCAAAATATTACCTTTATTGTTGATCAAGTTGAGGATGTGGCTTATGAGTGAACCATAGACTGCCTTTCCAGGCAGCCCTAGGTAGCCCTGGACTAGGACAGGCCTCCCCTTCCCCTGTCTCTGTAGGAGCCAAGCAGGAGGAACGTGGCCCTCAGTGGGCAGCTTGCCCCCAAGAGGAGAGGAGGGGAAAGGCCAGGACCCTCCATGCCAGTTCCTCCTTCCACACTCGCTGGTAACATACCCACTCCACCTGGCTGGGAAGGAGTAGTAGGGAGGCGGGGCTAGGAATGTTTTGCTAGTGGGAGTCCAGGAGGCATCAGGAATGGCAGAGAAATGTTGCCTCATAACAGGCAAATATGGTTGAATGAACAAATGAATGGACTCCACTGCTGTTCTGGGACCTATAGTGACAGACCCCGGAGCCCTCTGCCTGCTTTCTTTTGCAGAGCATGGTCTGACGAGGAGTTAGGAGTTAATCCTACCTAGGACTGACAGCAGTGTGAAATCCCTGCGCCAATCCCACTCTCCCTGTTCCTAATTCCAGCTCCTGTCTGTGCAAAGCTTGCACATTAATTTCCATTCCAAAGCAGTCTCTTTCCATACCTCTGAAGAATTCAGAGTTTGCTAGTTCCAGCCAATAAAAGTTTTGAGAGAGACCATTGTTGTACTGTGAACTTCCTGTTTCATGTCATGACCCTGTCTTCTAGGAAGGGCGGCATGGCAGGAAAGTGTGAAGATTTTTCTTTATGGAGAAGTTGAGCACTCATTTAATACCTCCATATTTAAAAGCACCTCCCATGTGCCAGGCACTGTGCTGGGATGAGTTAGACCTAGACCTTGGCCTTCCCCTAGTGTGGGAGAGCGTGAGGTGAATCTGGGGTCATTGTTCTGATGGGGAAGCTCTGGGGAAGCCCAAGGAGCTAGACATAGGAAGGGCAGGTTTGAGAGGTTAAGGCTGAAAGAGATCTTTCGTTTACTGGGGGGAAGCTATTGGTCTCAGAAATTTTCATAGTATGTTTCCGGTTACACTTTAAAAAGGAGTACAGCTTAATCCTGAGTCAGACCGAGAAGTATCCCAGTCAGCATGTCTGGGAGATGAGTTAAGCTGGGGCAGGGTTAGGGGGAGCAGAAGTCCGACCATAGATGCTTCCTGGGGATACTGCCCTAGGAAGCTCCGCCAAGGAGCTGCAAGTTCCCCTTGTAGAACTTTTTAGAGCAGCCTCTTCTAATATGTTCTGGAGGAAACAAGACTTTGGGGACCTCCATAAAGGAGTCCTTAGTCCAGGTTTGGTCTGTGGATGTCTGCATAGGGAGTGTCTCCTCTTCTCCTCCTTGAAGATTGAAGTGACATCAGTACATTAAAGGCTCTGAGAAGCCCATCAGTAAAGCAATGTACAGAAATTTATCCCAGCATTTTTCTAACAATTTGTCTATGGAATCCTTTTTTCTCTGTAATACTTTGCTGCTATAGAACTATGCATGTTGCTTCTTCAGATCTTATCTTGAAACTGCTGTGGGAGAGGGGTAGTCATCACCATGAAAACATCTGGGACGCTCTCATCCTCTACTCTGTGGATAGTTTAGGTTTTGGTTTTGGGCTCACTTCTTTGTGTTGGTTGAGCGCCACCTGTTGGCCGTTGAGAAACCTGGGATGATGGTGTGATAGCAGTTGGACTTTCTGAAATCCTGCATATTCCTGCTGAAGTTTGACCAAATTTGACATAAACACGAAGGAAAAGTGAAACATTTCAGCAAACACAGAGTAGGAAGATGAGAACCGCAAACTACGCCTTATCAGATTGGATTTCTGGCCTATAGGGTTTAATTTCTCTCTCTGTATCTTCCCACCCGCTTCACTGTAAGTAGTTGAAGCTGTCAGCATAATCTGACTTCTCTGAGAAGATGCTCTTATGCTCCTATCGGCCCACTTTGTCTTAAGTAACAAAGCGGGGGTAAGGTTGGCTTTGTATTTCAGCCCAATGGTTAGTTCTTAACAGAACATTGCAAGACACCAGAGGCCATTCTTTTCCCAGGACTCCTGTTTTCCATTATATCCCTTCTCCTGCTTTTGTCCTGCAGCCATCTCTGCAGGTGGCAAACGCTCCGTCAGGATTCACAGAGAAAGTGGCCTTTGAATTTTGGGCTTCAATGTGAGGAATAAGAATTATGGAAGAGGTTTTTTTTCCCCTTATGGAAATAAAAAGATAGGGACAATTTTCTGTTTTGTTTTATTTTTTCCTGGAACCATCTGCCTAGGTAGACATCAGTTTGCTGGAAGGTCTTACAGAGGAGAGGAAAGAGGGTTGGCTTTGCCCAGTTGTGGAACCTGATATGCTCCAGTGAATGCTCTGCTCTCCAGGCTCCAGCCATACTGGATGTTTTCCACTGCCTGACCAGGCGTGTTCTTGCTCACCTCAGGGCCATCACAAGCCAGGCAGAAGGAACAGCATAGGCCTCCCCTCCTCTACTTGGCTTGGCAAAGTTTTCCTTATCCTCTAGGCCTTAGCTTAGATGTCACCTCCTCCAGAAAGCCTCGCCTGACTGCTCAGACTGGGTCAGTTATGCCAACTGTGTGCTCCCACAGCCCTCTGCTCTTCTTTGCGACACTCAACACATAGGCAGGACTTATGCCTCAGCAACTTGTATGCTCCCTGAGGGCAGGGGACCTCATCTGCCTCTTCATTCCCTTCCTCTGTTCTTAGCACATGCATGACACAGAGTAGGTGCTTAACACTTGTCAAATGAGTAAAGGAGCCCCAGTCCCTGCCTTCAAAGCACTCAAGAAGCAAATGCTTCTGCAGCTACATGGCCTTCAGGGCTCACCTTTGCCCCGGTCTTTGTTCGCTGGTATTGAGAGTGGGCTTACGGGTACCATCTTTTTCCTCCTGTGGAGGAGGAGGAGGAGCCCAAAGACATTGGTGGCAAACACAAAAGAAAGGACTTTTCAAGTCAGGAGGTGTTAAAAATCAGGCCTTGCGGTCATAACTTAAATTTAGATAATTGAAATGGTTATTAATACCTTACATTTGTATTTTGCTTTAGGGTTTACCAGTTGTATGTGTCATATACCTACATACACATACTCTCATTTAACCCTTATTAAAACACTCTGCAGGCGGTGGTATTATTCTGATTTTACACAGGAAACTGGCGTGCCAGAAAAGTTAAGTGACTGTAAAAGTTGCCCAGGTAGTACGCGATTGTGCAGTAGAGGCTCCGAAATAGCGAGCTGCTGGCTGTTGAACTTAGGTGGAAGCTGGTCAGCATGGAGGTGGGTTAGAAGTGCCTTTGGAGTGGGGGGAGATGGGAAGGAAGAAGGTGTGTGACTAGTTTGAAGCCTCTAACCCTTTGAGCTGAGGCTGCTGGTGTCTCTTTGTCCCTCAGATCCTAAGAGGATGTGCTGTGACATTTTCTCTGTGGAGGTCACAGCTTCCTGGCCTGTGTAATCCAAAGCCTGGCTCCGTGCTGGGGTGGGTGGGGGGAGGCATGAGGTTTTGCTAGGTACAAAGCCCTAGGCTTTTGCTTTATAAACCAGGTTTTCAGTTTCAGGTTTGTTTGTTGCTTGGGCACTGTCTTTGAAGACCCCAGCTGTTGACTGTTGGTACATCTCTGCTTGTCATGTGGGTTTTCTGAGTGGGTTTGGAAGAGGGGCAGGGCTGTGGCCTGTGGTCAGGGAGAACCCTCAGAACCTCCTTTGGTATGGACCAGAAATAGTGCCTTGCCCACCTTAAGTCATCTGAAAAAGGGAAACCCTATGCCGGCAGCCCAGAGGTGGCTCCTGGCAAAACCCTTGGAAAAACTAAACTGTCCGAGAAGGCTGTGCCACCAGGGAACTTTCCTTGCCTGCTGTTATCTTGGTTTGCAGGGACCTTTAACTCATTCAATGAAGAATGATTACATGAGGTCTTGGTATGTGCCAGGTTCTGTGCTGGGTGCCTAGGGTATGTGATGCCTGAGGGCCGTTTGTTCGAGAAGCTGCAGTCTGATGGAGGGAGGTGTGGGTACAGACATTGCTATATGGAGTGTGGATGGTGCTGTCTCAGGGGTTTGAATAGTGCTCAGGGAACCCTGAAGGAACTGGCAGCAGCCTGGAGAGGCCAGTGCCAGCTCGGAGGAGATGATGTTTGAGCAGTGTTTTGAAGGATAAGCAGGTGGCCGGGACAGAGGGAGCTCCATGAAGAGTGAGGACGTGTGTGCAGAGGCCTGGAGGCAGGAGAGGGCTCCGCAGGTTCTAAGGCGAGTGGGACGTTCGGGTGCCTGGATTATAAGTGCCTCATGAGGAGTGGCAAAGGACGTAGGCTGAGACCAGGTTAAAGGAGCTTGGCTTGCATTCAGCAGATTTCTTTCTTTTTTTTATCCCAGCTGTATTGAGATATAATTGACATATAACATTGTGTATGTTTAAGGTGTACAACGTGATGATTTCATACACGTATATATTGCAAAATCAACAGATTTTTAACTTCTAATTGTGGAAAATTTAAAAGACATGGAAAAGTAGATAGAATAGAATAGCGAACCCCATGTACCTTTACCCTGCTCCAACAGTTACCAGCCCACGGCCAGTCCTGTTTCCTCCGTACCCTGACACTATCACCACCACGCCCACCCCCACCACTCCCCCACTCCATATCACTGAAGAAATCCCAAAGTGATTTGCATATTCTGTCAAGCCTAGCCTGTGGCTTGTAATGGATTAATCCAGAATTTGGAGGCCTAGAATGATCTGGTGGCACTATTGATTTCATTTCATTTTCAAAGGAACCACTGAGTTTCCCCTCTTCATCTTGCCTTTCAGTGGGAAGTTGGTGTCTCCAAAGTGGAAGAATTTCAAGGGCCTGAAGCTCCAGTGGAGAGACAAGATCCGGCTCAATAACGCCATCTGGCGGGCGTGGTACATGCAGTGTAAGTGCTCCGTGAGCTGGGAGCAGGAGGAGACCGCAGGGGCCCCAAGGCCTTGTGGGGGACAGACCTCCAGGTACAACCACCTGGAAGCCTTTGCACCTTGGGGCCCAGAGCCCACTCTTGGAACATTGTGTTTCAAACAGAAGTCTCTCTCAGGCAGTTTGCGAAGATAGGAAAAACAAGCCAAATCCTAGTGAACTGGACACTGCTTGGCCATCAGGCACAGGGGCCAGTCAAATCATCTGTGTCGTGAAGGCGTCTCTAGTCTGCAGGAGATGGATGCATTAGCCGTTTGCTCACTGTTATGATAGATGCTTGGGCCCAGTGTTGTAAAAGCAGAGCGGGGTGGTGGGGTTAGTTCTTTTCAGGGGGACCAGGAAGGGTGTAGCAGAGAGGTAACATTTGAAGAGTCAGGGAACAGTTCCCATTTCAGCAGATGTAAGAAGATGCAGGCCCAGGCCTCGTTCTGTCTCCAGCTGGGTTGGGTGCTGGTGTATCTGGTGACTTCTGCAGGAGATCAGCGTGCTTGGGCCACGCTTGGGTTAGGCCGATGTGTCTCTTAGTAAGCCAGACTCCCTTTCTTGCCCAAGCATTATTGATGGATTCTTTTCCTTTAACCTGGACCCCTTTATTTCTCCAAAACCTCATTTTCCAAGGGAAAGAGAAGGAAAGAACATGTGGGAGGGTCCCACCGTGAGAGAGAGGTGGACAGAGGGGCAGGGCTCCTTCAGGGGTTTTGGTCATAGTGATGGTGTCTTACCCTCTCTCTGCCCAGATTTGGAGAAGCGCAAGAATCCTGTGTGCCACTTTGTCACTCCACTAGACGGCTCTGTTGAAGTAGATGAGCATCGCCGGCCAGAGGTACCTGGCATGTGATCATTGGTGGCTGGGACAGGAACCCGCCCTCAGTCAGGAGGAGACACTCAGTGAGGGCTAGGAGCGAGGGTTGGGTTCTGCAGTGGGAGACTGCAGGGAAGAGTACTGGGGCTGCGCTGTCCTATCAGCTGTTGTGACCTTGAGAAGTGACGAGGACATAGGGGGTAGAGGCTCTCCCTTTTTCAGACTAGGTGTACCCAAGGACCAAGGAACTCTCCAATCAGCACTTACCCTCTGCTTTCATTTAAAATTAGTATTTCTCGGGGCCGGCCCGGTGGCGTAGCGGTTAAGTGTGTGCGCTCTGCTTCGGCAGCCCGAGGGTTTGCAGGTTCGGATCCTGGGTGCGCACAGACACACAGCTTGTCAAGCCATGCTGTGGCAGCGTCCCATATAAAGTAGAGGAAGATGGGCACGGATGTTAGCTCAGGCCAGTCTTCCTCAACAAAAAGAGGAAGATTGGCATCAGGTGTTAGCTCAGGGCTCATCTTCCTCACAAAAAAAATAAAATAAAATAAATAAAATAAAACTGGTATTTCTCTGTAAGTCCACAGGGAGGGATTTTGGCTCCTTACAAGGCAGATGTCGTTAACAATTAAAGAATGATCTCAAGATCTGTATGTACTGAGATGGAAAGATGTTGAAGAAATAGTAAATGAAGAAAAAGCAAGTTGGTCTACAGTATTTTAATATTTTTATGTTAATTCTTAAAAGTGTGTATCTATGTGGTTATACATGATAGGAAATGTCTAGAAGGATATACAGAAGTCGTTTACTAGTGGGTACGTCAGGGGCGTAGGATTAGAGTGAGGAAGAGGAAGGGAGACTCTTTTCACTTTATACTCTTCTGCGTTGTTTTAATTTTGTCCAAGCATGTCTTACTGTTATGATAAAAGGGGAAAAAATTAGAAAGTAACCTAATGAACGACAGTTGTGAGCAGTCAGACATGATCTGTTTTAGACAATACAGTCACACACCATATAATGACGTTTTGGTCAATGACAGACCGCATATACGATGGTGGTCCCATAAGATTAGTACCATAGAGCCTAGGTGTGCAGTAGGCCGTACCATCTGGGTTTGTGTAAGTACACTCTATGATATTCACACAACGATGAAATCAACTAACAACACGTTTCTCAGAATGTGTCCCCGTTGTTAAGTGACACGTGACTGTATTAAGAAATATCATTTTGGTAGGTCTGGTAATAATATGGTATTATTCACTGTGAAGATTCTTTACTGTTAGAGACACACAATGAAGTCTTTTTAGGTGAAATTATATGAGACTTCTGATATCTGGGAGTTGCTTTAATATACTCCAGCCATAAAAAAAACAAAGGAATCTGAAAGAGAAGTGGGCTCTCTAGAATTCTTCAAGAATATTGTGGAAAGGACTCATGCCCTGCATAATGGAAAGGTTGAACTAGATGCCCTTGGAAGTCACTTTCCACCTGAAACTTCTGTGATTGGCCATTTTGTTTTCACCCTTTGAAAATGCGGCAGAGGCCACTGGAAAAGGGCATGTGGGTGCTACCTATGGTCTCTGTAGGGATCCTCCAATGCCGGGATGGAGGGGCTCTCTACTTCTTCCCTGCCCCAGCATTCTCTCTGACGCCATGCTCCAATCCAGACTTCAGGACCTGTGCGGCTGAAGCCCCACTGGGTTATTGTAGGTCATGAAATGAAAGCATGTCTTTAGAGGTCAGTGTAGCACATAAGAGGTGGACACTTTGTGAATCAAGTTGTAGGCACGTGGTAGAGTTCTCTGAGCTGGATTGCCCAGGGCTGACTTCCAGTGTCAGACACTTCTTTGTTCATGGGTTGGGTTCTGCTAATCGACCACGATGCCATCTTTTCATTCTGACCTGCATCTCTCTCACAGGCCATCACCACAGAAGGGAAGTACTGGAAAAGCCGCATTGAGATTGTGATCCGGGAATATCACAAGTGGAGAACCTACTTCAAGAAAAGGGTATCCGGCTTGGGATCCAAAAAGAGCAAGTTCAGGAAGCTCCCACAGGGGAGGGAAGGAACTGAGTTTCCTATTCAGGACACTGACCCTTGAGGCTGTGGCTCCACAGCTGCCCCCCACCCCCCAGGGGGGTGTGGAGAACCAAGTAGGACTGGCATTCTAGCCCAGCCCAGGGAGGGGCCTACTTTGGTCCTGTGATCTGTGCTCTTAGTTTCTCCGGCTATGAATTGGCTGGGAATCTCCTCTGTGCCAGCATCGGCCTGGGGGTGGCAGGTGGCAGGGTCCCTCTCCCCGCCTGCCTCCCAGAGAGAAGAGGCCTAGATGCTTCCAGAGTTCACTCACCTCTGGGGAGGAGAGGCTGAGGGCCTCATCTGCTCCCAGGACCCTGGGTGACCACCTGGTCTCTCTCCTTTTCTCCACAGCTACAGCAGCACAAGGATGAGGACCTCTCCAGCCTGGCCCAGGTGAGTGAGCTTGGGGGCCATGAGGACCTTCATGGGAACCCCTCTTTGAGAAGAAACAGCAATGACTTGGGTGGCCCCATGGTGAGCCCTGAAGCAGAAAGTGGTGGGGACGCGGACTCTCCCTGCGGCTAGGGGAGGGGCATCCCCCTCCTCACATGAAGGGGTAAGGAAATGGGCAGTTCTCTTTGCCAAGTGGGCTGGAGGGGTGCTCCCTGCATTTCTCCACCCACTCACCTCCACTTTTATACAGCAGCCCTTGCTGCTCCATAAAGTAGGGTAACATATTCCCCAGCATGACGGGATTGGGAATCCGGGTACCCTGTTGCCCCTTTGAGTTTTCCTTCCCCCTCTGTTGGCGGTAGGATGATGACATGCTTTACTGGCACAAACATGGGGATGAATGGAAGACCCCAGTCCCCATGGAGGAGGACCCACTGCTGGACACAGACATGCTCATGTCAGAATTCAGCGACACCCTCTTCTCCACACTTTCCTCACATCAGCCGGTGGCCTGGCCTAACCCACGGGAAATAGGTAACCCATCCCTAGATCCTTGACTTTGAACACGCAGCTGGTTTCCTTTTCTGCCAAGCGCCCCCGGGGCAGACTTTACCTCAGGGCCATCTCTGAGCAGCTGCGTGTCACTTGTTTAGGGTAGGCAGTAAGGAGAAGGATTAGCCAGCCAGCCTCGCTGACATCTGAGGGCCACATGCATTGAGTGGGTGGGACTGCAAATTGAATCTTCCTGGGAATCTGTCGGACCTGTGGTGCCACTGTGAGAAAACAGTGGGGGGTTTGGTCTGAATCAATTTCACGTTTCTGATACTTCCCCTTAGCAGAGCATACGTGCCTAGGCTGAGTGACAGGGCCTGGGACTCACCCTAAAGAAAATCAGAAGCATTCCTGGGCATGACCTCTCACCTGGTGGCATTCAGTCGTCCAGTTAACCCCTCAGGGAAGAGCCCACAGACTAAAAATTAGAACCGGAGCATCTCTGTATGGCTTCCTGGGGGTGTCTGTTCCCTGATACACAATTTACTTTCTTGTAAAAACTTCCTTTCCTGCCCTCTGAGGGTTGAGAATGGCCATGAATCCAGAAGAAGGTAGAAATCCCAGGCAGCTGCCTACATTTCTCCTTGGAAGAATCTAGAATGTGAGCAGGGCCAGGAATTTCCATTCCAGGCCTTTTATATGTTCCTACAAGATTGTCTGAGACGACAGAATGATTCCTTGGTCTCCTTTCTGATTCTTACAGCACATCTGGGAAATGCAGACATGATTCAGCCGGGGCTGATTCCTTTGCAGCCCAACCTGGACTTCATGGACACCTTTGAGCCTTTCCAGGGTGAGGACGTGGGCAGAGTGAGAGCATGGCTCCTGGATCTCCCTTTGCCCAGGACAAAGCAGACTGGTGCTTCCCTTTCCTAGAGGGAACTGTTAGAATGAGCAAGGGGGAAGACTTAGAATTTTTCCAGAACTACCTTTTTTTTTGGTAGTAGCTGCAAGGTCTGGGAAGTTTTCTGGGACATTATTCTCTCAAGGAAATTGGCATTCTCCTTCTGACAGTCCCAGAGCCTCAGGTTTGGCCATGACTGGAAGCAGTTCTCCCTCTAGGCAGCAGAGGGTGCTGACGACACAGCCACCTCCCAGCAGTTTCCTGCAGTTAAAACTGGTCCTGAGCTCCGCCTTTCTAAGAACGGGTGAAAGGCCAGGCCTGGGAGTATTTCAGAGCCCACACTGGTTGCCAGCATGTGCGGTTCCAGTCAGAGGGCTTGTTTCTGCAGACTTATCTGGGAGGGTACCCTCTGGCCATGACACTCCTCTGGGTAAGGTGGGATTCAATGCCCAATTTATTTGGATCTTAATTCAAGGAAGTGATGGGCCCACGGAGCTGAAAAGCCCCTGGTGTTGTCTTTCAGACCTCTTCTCTTCCAGCCGCTCCATTTTTGGCTCCATGCTGCCTGCACCTGCCTCAGCACCTATACCAGATCCCAACATCCCAACTGCTCAGGTAGAGGATGCTGGGGGTTGGGGGCGCAGGGCTGGCCATGAAAGCTCTGCACCCAGGGCTAGGCTAATGAGATAACCACGCAGTCATAAGCAAAGTGCTAGGGGTTGCTAGAGGTAGTGCTGAGCACACGTCTAATGGGTAGCGAAACTGTTCTAGCCCTCCTTGAAAGCATCCGTAAATATCCACAAGTGGGAGACTGTCAGTAAACGTATGCTCCTGCCTAAGGCTCCAGATAACCTGTGTGCAGCGAGCTCTGTTCTTACTGGTTAAGACAGGATTAGCAAGACAGCAAAGAAAAAAAAATGTGGATCACTAATAAAAAGAAGTTCTGTGTATTTCTTTTACTTTTTACTCAGCAGTCAACACAAGTTGATTACCAGGTATCAGGGCTACAGAGCTGAGTGAGGCACGGCTCTTTGCCCTGAAGGGGCTCTCAGGCTGGTACCCGTATCCCAGTAGACACCAGTAACCTGGCCTCGTCTTCTTCCATCTGGCTCTGGGAAGAATTTCTTCTATAGAAACTGAGACCTGAACAATCAATTCCTTCTAGCGTTTCCCTTTTAGAAAGAGGTGACCTCTCTAGAAGTTGATACATGAAACTATCCTGGGGGAACCCCATGAGCAGCTGTGATCCAGGCTGCCTCTGCTCTGTAACAGAAGATGGCAGGGACTTGGGGGAACCCCTGCTGGACTCCAGAAACAAGATAGTCCCAGGCTGAGAGCCAGCTGTGTGCAGACAGTTGCTTTGTCTGAGCCGTGTTATCGTTAGTTCCCCATGGAAACAAGACCCCTGCAGACGCCACGGGAGGCACAGATCATCTCCCCAGATCAGCAGGAATGGGGATGGGAGACACCGCCTTTGTCCCTTCTGTCCTGGGGTTGGTCTCAGGTGCCGATGTCCGTTGTTGGGCTTTGTGGTGTGTAGCTCTAGGCAGTGATGGCGGGTTGTATGACCCCAACATTTTGTTCCTCTCTTCTTTTCTCTTCCTTTCTCAGGAGAGCATCCTGCCAACCACCGCTCTCCCTACCGTGAGCCTCCCTGACAGCCTCATCGCGCCCCCCACAGCCACTGCCCTGGAGCCCACGGATGAGCAGGGCTGTGAACGTGCTTCCCAGCCTGGGGACCCCTTTATCCAGCCCACAGACTTTGGTCCCCCTGTGCCGCCACTGAATGTCCCACAGTCTTTCCTCCCCGTGTTCACCATGCCCCTGCTTTCTCCCAGTCCCGCCCCTGTGGCTGTGTCTCCTGCCTTGCCGTTGGTCCCTCCTCCTGCCACTGCCCTGACTCCCACGACTCCATCCTCTTTCCTGGAACCTCAGAAGTTTGCTGGAGTCGGCAAGTCACCCTCTGTCATCACCCACACAGCCTCCGCCACCCTCACACACGATGCCTCTGCCACCACCTTCAGCCAGAGCCAGGGCCTTGTCATCACAACCCACCATCCCACTCCCTCAGTGTCCCCCTGCGGCTTGGCACTGTCTCCGGTAACCCGGCCACCGACTGTTGGGCCCCCCCAACCTCGTTTAACTTTTGTGCACCCCAAACCTGTATCTTGGACTGGCGGGAGGCCCAAGCAGCCCCCCAAAATAGTGCCTGCTCCCAAACCAGAGCATATGTCCTTGGTGTTGAAGAATGCTTGCATCGCCCCAGGTGAGTCAGGTGGAGGAAAGCCAGAGTGTGACCCCTGCCTCCCCCAGGAGGGATGTTTCCCATCCGCAAGGCTGCAGACTCGTGACACGCACACATTGTGACGTGAAACATAAGAGTCTGGGAATACTACGTGTGTATGATCCAGTGTATTTTCTATTCTGTGTTGTTGTCTTAAAGTTAGTCTCAACCCAGTTTGAAAAAACATGGTCCTGGTCATCTCTTTCCTGGGTCTGTAGTCTGTCCGCTTCAAGAAGTTGTAAAAAATATCAGGTGCCCTAGTGGCTTTGTCTTCCCGTGCCCTGCGGTGAGGAAGGCGATGTCTCAGCGGCAGTAGAGGGGTCGTGTGCTGCTCCTGGGGAGCCCCACTGTGCAGCTTGGCTGGGCCCGGGTTCAGTAACAGCGTCGGGAGCAAGCCCCCATGGCTTGGGGCATCCAGCCTCACCTTCTTGTTCTGGCAGCTGCCTTTTCAGGACAACCACAAGCAGTGATTATGACATCAGGCCCTCTGAAGAGAGAAGGGATGTTGGCTTCTACTGTGTCCCAATCCAATGTGGTCATCACACCTGCTGCCATCGCCAGGGTGAGGGGGCCCTGGACAGACCCTCAGCATCCTAATAATCCCAGCGTGACCCTGCTCTTGGGTGACCCTCACCCCACATGACTGTGGTCGGGGGTGACCTCTTTATCCTGTGTCACCTCAGGCTCCTGGAGTTACGGAGTTCCACAGCAGCATCCTGGTGACAGACCTCGGCCACCCCTCGAGCAGCCAGCCCGCCCCTGTCTCCCGGCTCTTTTCTCCAAGCACGGTGCAAGACTCCCTGGTGAAGGGCGAGCAGGTCCCACTGCACGGGGGCAGTCCCCAGGTGCCTGCTGCAGGTTCCAGTGAGTGTTCACTCTGGTTGGAACGGTTGGGACTTTGTGAGTGAAATGAGCAGGCCCACTCCTGGTTTGGGGAGGCCGCCCAGGGGGTGCCCCAGGATTGAGCCTGGGCTGTCAGGCCATGCAGCGAGGCCTAGGGTGGCCCAGGCTAGGGAAAGGCTCAGCGTAGGGCTGGATAAACCATAACAGCAGGAAAGCAGCAGGCGTGGTGCAGTGTAGGCAGCTCGTGTCCTTGGGGAAGTGCCACTGCTAACCTACTTCAGGAAGGCCTGGCTCTGAGCTGCCAGTTCTGATCCAGAAAAAGGATCAGAGTCCTTGTCAATGGTTTTCAGAAAACATTAGCTTGGAGTTGCTGCAGCCGCAGAAGCCCCCTAGCCTTGTCTCCACATCAACTTTGTTATCCCTCACAGTTTTCAAGCACTGCGCATCTGTGAGCTGGTTCCACGTCTTGGGCCTTCTGTTGGTGAGACAGTCAGAGTAGGACTGACTTTGCCCAGTGACATCTGAAGAACCGGGAGGTCAGGGAAAAGTGATTTTCCTGAGGCTGAGCTCCTGGTGGTGGGGGTGGAACCAGAACCCGGGCTCCTTCCTTTCAGATGCCACGTCAGGAAGGGAGAACAGAAGTGTCTTCTTGTCTGAAATAAAACCATGGCATGGCTACTCCTGGAACTGTGTGCAAACAGTTGTCTTCCCTCTGCCTCGAAAAGACACGACGGGAAAGGTCTTCACTTACAGGGATCAGACAGAGGGACTTGTCCAAGGACGAGTTTTGAAGAATAAGGACCTTCAGTCCAGGAAGATAAAGATGCAGAATAGTTGTTTCTTTAATTAAAAAATTTCGAGGAGTGGGTCAGATTGAAAAAAAGTATGAGAAAACATAAACATAGAGTTTAAAGAACAAAAGTAAAGCAGATCCCTGCATACTCGGGACCAGGGTAAGAGCTAGAGCCTTACGAACCCTGGAGACCCGTGGTGGCCTCCGGGTGGCTTTGTAGGAGGCTGTCAGGAGTTGGACCTCCTCTCAGAACTCTCCCACATCCCCCAAGACCTGTGGCTGGCAGAGCTTGGGCCATATTCCCACTCCACGTCCAGCCAGCCCTCGTCAGGCCTTGCTCAGGCCTAACAATGCCCCTAGGGATGTTGGCAGAATTTCTCTGGGTTTTGCTCAGGGGCCACTATGGGAGGTTCAAGATGGGTTTGGAGTCTCAGGGCTTGCTGGGGGTTTCCTTCATGGCTGAGGACTGCTGCGGCTGGTGCAGCCTCACCGATCCCACCTCTCCCACCCTGTCCCTAAGAGGAGTGTCTGTTCTTCCCAGGTCGAGACTGCCCAAACTCAGGGCAGGCCTCTCCGTGTGCTTCAGAACAAAGCCCCAGTCCTCAGTCTCCCCAGAACAACTGCTCAGGGAAGTCTTCTGTAGACCCCAAAAATGTGGCTGCTTTAAAGGTACCATACATCTCTCTCAGGTCTCTATTCCCTTGGAAGGATGGGGAGGCAAGGAGGAGAAGAATATCAAGGGACCTTTGGGACAGCTGCCTCCCTTACTAGGGCCACACTGGAAAGAACGTGGACTCTGCTGGTGTTCCCCCTGGCTGGGGTCGCATCAGAAACGTGGATATTTGCTGCTTTAATCTTTTTTTTTTTTTTTTTTAAAGATTTTATTTATTCATTTTTTTCCCCCCAAAGCCCCAGTAGATAGTTGTATGTCATAGGTTCACATCCTT